CCCTAAGCAACCAATTATCATCTCATATTTCTTGTGCATGACACAAGTACTTGGCAGGTTGCTAGATGTCTTATTAATAATTAATGATAATAGTTACCATTTACTAAGAGCTTAATACATACAGATAATTGCATTACCTAACTTAATCTTCATGACAACTCTGTCAAAGCTGAGGATGTTGAAGCTTAAAACATGTTAAAAGACTTGGAACATGGGCAGTATATGGTGAAACCGCCATTCTGTCCCAGGTCTCTAACTCCAAAGCTCATGATATCTATTGTTAATAAACTAAATTTTTGAAGCTATACAATCTCCATAAGAAATTTACTAAGATATTTTAAAATGTAGTGGAAATGCTGAAATTGTTTAGGTATGGTAGTTTGCTCATGAAATTTGTGGCATGTTTCACATTGAATACTAACTATTCTACAGTTGTGTATGGTTCTACTTTTTTATACTAATCTTCCATTAAAATTTATGTTTTGCCTTCGTAATTCCAGTATCAATGAGTTTTGCTTTTATCAGTGCTGAATTTTCTTCAGTTATAGGGAAGATTATAATCCCTTTATAGCAATAAATCTTCCCTTTTTGAGTATCTTTGTACTTCCTTGAACATTTAAGCTTTTTAAAAATCTCTTAGTTTTTGTAATTTTAAAAGTAACACTGAGGGCGCCGGGGTGGCTCAGTTGGTTAAGCGACTGCCTTCGGCTCAGGTCATGATCCTGGAGTCCCTGGATCGCGTCCCGTATCGGGCTCCCTGCTCGGCGGGGAGTCTGCTTCGCCCTCTGACCCTCCCCCCTCTCATGTGCTCTCTCTCTCTCATTCTCTCTCTCTCAAATAAATAAAATCTTTAAAAATAAATAAATAAAAGTAACACTGAATATTATATATTGTGTAAAAGAAAGTAGTGTATATGTGTCAGTATGGAAAATCTAATATGTAAATTTAGAAATGTATAGAAAAGCTACAGAGCAGTATAGTTTGACCTCATGTGTAAAACTATACATATTTGAGATACGTATCCATGTATTCATGTATATGTATGTATATTCATATATATTAAATATATGTGGATAGTGTCTGGAAAGATATGACAGAAACTCCTAAGTAAGAGTGTGACTGAGAACCAGGATAAGAGGAGAGGGACTTTATACCTTTCTGTTTTGTTTGAATGTTTTTCCTTTTTAGTTTCTCCAGTCTTTTCACACTATCCACCTTTGCCTTTGTTTCTCTTTCTCTCTCTTTTTTTTTAAAGATTTTATTTATTTATTTGACAGAGAGAGACACAGCAAGAGAGGGAACACAAGCAGGGGGAGTGGGAGAGGGAGAAGCAGACTCCCTGCCGAGCAGGGAGCCCGATGCGGGGCTCGATCCCAGGACCCTGGGACCATGACCTGAGCTGAAGGCAGACGCTTAATGATTGAGCCACTCAGGCGCCCCATCTTTCTCTCTTTTTTTAAATAGCCTGGTGTGTCTCTCTCCACATCTTCAAGCTCACATAAATGTACAGATACACATAGGGAACTTGGGGGGGGTCACTTTTTTTTTTTTAATAAAAATCGGGTTACATTGGGGTGCCTGAGTCAGTGGAGCATGTGACTGATGGTCTCTGGGTGGTGAGTTCAGGCCCCACATTGGCATGGAGCTTACCTAAAACAAAAAATAGGGCTACACTATAAATATCTCTCTGGAACTTGCTTTTTTCACTGTGGACATCTGTTCCTACAGATGGATCTAGTTCTTTCTTTTTAATAGCTGTGTACTATGCATATCATAATGTAATGGGCTCCTTATTAGTGAAAGGTGTTGACTTTATTTTTTCTGTAACATGATATTGTGACTATCCTTATACATTTTTCTTTGTGCATTTATTTTTTTTAATTGTGTCATTAACAGTGTTATATTAGTTTCAAGTATATAATTATTCAGCATTTCTCTACACTGCTCAGTGCTCATCAAAATAAGTGTACTCTTACTCCCCTTTATTTCACCCATCCCCCTACCCTTGACAACCACCAGTTCTCTGTATTTAGAGTCTTTTTGGGGGGGGGGCACCTGGGTGGCTCAGTCATTAAGTGTCTGCCTTCGGCTCAGGTCATGGTCCCAGGGTCCTGGCATCGAGTCCCGCATCGGGCTCCTTGCTCCGCGGGGACCTGCTTCTCCCTCTCCCACTCCCCCTGCTTGTGTTCCTTCTCTCTCTGTGTCTCTTTCTGTCAAATAAATAAATAAATCTTTAAAAAAAATGTTTATTTTGTTTCTTAAATTTTTACATATGAGCGTAATCATATGGTATTTGTCTTTTTCTGACTGATTTTGCTTAGCATAATACAGTATAGCTCCATCCACATCATTGAGATGGCAAGATTTCATTATTTTTGATGGCTGAGTGATAGTCAGTTGTATATAGTCCACCTCATTTTTATCCATTCAGCAGTCGATGGACATTAGGGCTCTTTCTATAATTTGGCTATTGTTGATAATGCTGCTATAGATATCGGGGCGCATGTGTCCCTTTGAATCAGTATTTTTATGTCCTTTGGGTAAATACTTAGTAGTGCAATTGCTGGGTCATAGGGTAGCTCTATTTTTAACTTTTTGGGGAACCTCCATACTGTTTTCCAGAGTGGCTGAACGAGTTTGCATTCCCAACCAACAGTGTAAGAGGGTTCCCCTTTCTCCACATTCTCACCAACATCTTTTGTTTCCTGTGTTTTTGATTTCAGCCATTCTGACTGGTATGAGATGATATCTCATTGTAGTTTTGATTTGTATTTCCCTGATGATGAGAGGTGTTGAGCATCTTTTCATGTGTCTGTTAGCCATCTGGATGTCTTCTTTGGAAAAATGTCTGTTCATGTCTTCTTCCCATTTCCTAATTGGATTATTTGTTTTTTGGGTGTTGAGTTTTATTAAGTTCTTCATAGGTTTTAGGTACTGACCCTTTATCAGATATGTCATTTGCAAATATCTTCTCCCATTCAGTAGGGTGCCTTTTCATTTTGTTTTTCCTTCGCTGTACCGAAACTTTTTATCTTGATGAAGTCCTTTTTTTTTTTTTTAAGATTTTATTTTTAACTAGTCTCTACACCCATAGTGGGGCTCCAACTCACAACCGAGAGATCAAAAGTTGCATGCTCTAGCTACTGACGAGCCAGGCACCCCCTGGTGAGGTCCTAATAGTTCATTTTTGCTTTTGTTTCCCTTGCCTCCGGAAATGTATCTAGTAAGAAGTTGCTATGGCCAATGTCAAAGAGGTTGCTGTTTGTGTTCTCCTCTAGAATTTTAATGGGTTTCTTGTCTCACATTTAGGTCTTTTATCCATTTTTAATTTATTTTTGTATATGGTGTAAGAAAGTGGTCTAGTTTCATTCTTCTGCATGTTGCTGTCCAGTTTTCCCAACATCATTTGTTGAAGAGACTGTCTTTTTTCCATTGGCTATTCTTTCCTGCTTTTTTTTTTAAAGATTTTATTTATATATTTGAGAGAGAGAGAGAGCACAAGTAGGGGGAGGGGTAGAGGGAGAACCAGACTCCCCGCTGAGCAGGGAGCCCTATGCCACGTGGGGCTCAATTCCAAGACCCTGAGATCATGACCCGAGCTGAAGGCAGATGCTTAACCCACTGAGCGACCCAGGTGCCCCTCTTTCGTGCTTTGTTGAAGATCAGTTGACTGTATAGTTGTGGGTCCATTTCTGGGTTTTCTGTTTTGTTCCATTATCTGTGTGTCTGTTTTTGTGGCAGTACCATTACTGTATTTATGACTGTAGCTTTGTAATAGAGCTTGAAGTCCAGAATTGTGATGCATTCAGCTTTGCTTTTTTTTTTTCAAGATTGCTTTGGCTATTCAGGATCTTTTGTGGTTCCATACAAATTTTAGGATTGTTTGTTCTAGCTCTGTGAAAAACGCTGGTGGTATTTTGGTAGGGATTATACTGATTCTGTAGATTGCTTTAGATAGTATAGACATTTTAACAGTATTTGTTCTTCCAACCCATGAGCATGGAATGTTTTTCCATATCTTTGTGTCCCCTTCAATTTCTTTCATATAGTTTGCAGCATACAGATCTTTTACCTCTTTGGTTAGGTTTATTCCTAGGTATCTTACGGTTTTTGGTGCAACTGTAAATGAGATCGATTCCTTGATTTCTCTTTCTGCTGCTTCATTATTGGTGTATAGAAAGACAACAGATGGGGCACCTGGGTGGCTCATTTGGTTAGGTGTCTGCCTTCGGCTCAGGTCATGATCCCAGGGTCCTGGGATCGAGTCTTGCGTCAGACTCCTTGCTCAGCGGGGAGCCCCCTTCTCCCTCTCCTCCTCCCTCTGCCTGCCACTCCCCCTGCTTGTGTTCTAAGTAAATAAAATCTTAAAAAAAAAAAAGCAACAGATATCTGTGCATTAATTTTGTATCCTGTGACTTTACTGAATTCGTGTATCAGTTCTAGCAATTTTTGGGGGGAGTCTTTTAGGTTTTCTACATAGAGTATCGTGTCATCTGCAAATAGTGAAAGTTTGACTTCTTTGCCGATTTGGATGCTTTTTATTTCTTTTTTGTTGTCTGCTGAGACTAGGACTTATGGTACAATTTTAAATAACTGTGTTATTAACAACGTGAGAGTGGACGAGTTGAGGGATTTCAAGTGCATTTTCTTTTATGCTACATAAACAATGAAGTAATAACTCATAAGAGATTGGGAAGGAAAGTTTCAGGGTGTGGAGGAAGTATTAAAGTTAGCGCATAGCAACAGTCTTCTGTGGGATATGGCCCTAAGGGCCATAATTGTGTCCCTGTAAGAAAGTAACTTATTTTCCTTAAAAGAATGTGTTCTGGGTGAATGTGTATGATTTTAATATTTCCTCAAACAAGAAGAAATAAATTCATTGGAAGACCTTCCCTCTTAAGGAAGTGTGGCCAAACCTATTTATAAATAGCATTATTAAAATCCTTAGTTATTGGCAAACCAAATCATCACCAGTGTGAAAATTATTATTTGTGTCCTAGACAGCTGCTCAGGAAGCAATCCTTCACGCGTCTGGAAATGGCAAACCTTTACCATCTAAGGACTACTGCATGCTATATAACCCTCATTGGACAGCTCTTCCAAATACCCTAGAAAATGCAGTAAGTAAATCACAGTTACCATATATTTATAAACATAAAATTATTGAAAGGTGAGAATGAGTGATTATTATGTTTTAGTGTGTGAACTAGTTGTAATATATATTGATCAATAAACAATAACTGTTTTATTGTTTTGACTTAAGTATTTTTCTCTCTGTGGGAAAAACAAGTTAGGGAATTTTAAAATACTTACCTGAAAGCCTGGTTGTCATAAACCATTTCTAATTTAAAAGAACCTGGTATTAAACCAATATTGATACTTTGTCACTAAGTGCATTTTTGTGAATTACGATGTTTATTATGTTAAAGACATTTCTTCTTTCCAGACTTCCATCAGTTTGATGAATCTGACTACCACACCACTATGCAACCTTTCTGATATTCCACCTGATGGAATAAAGAGCAAAGCAGTTGTAGTACAGTGGGGGACGTGCCATATTCTTGAAAAAGCCAGAATTGCACAAAAAGGAGGTGCTGAAGCATTGTTGGTTGCCAATAACAGTGTCCTAGTAAGTTTTAAAACTTAGTACTAACTTTTTTTTTTTAAAGATTTTATTTATTTATTTGAGAGAGAGAGAATGAGAGATAGAAAGCACGAGAAGGAAGAGGGTCAGAGGGAGAAGCAGACTCCCCGCTGAGCAGGAAGCCCGATGTGGGACTCGATCCCGGGACTCCAGGATCATGACCTGAGCCGAAGGCAGTTGCTTAACCAACTGAGCCACCCAGGCGCCCCTTAGTACTAACTTTTGAGCTCATGATATATATCACATTTCACAAGTATTGAACTACCTTTTTGGTGTGTAGTTTAGGGGCTGAGCTTCGAATAATCTGATAGTAGGGTTCTTTTAAAATAAACATTCTGGGGGTGCCTGGGTGGCTCAGTCAGTTAAGCATCTGACTCTTGATCTGAGCTCAGGTCTTGATGTCAGCGTTGTGAATTCAAGCCGCATGTTGGGCTCCATGCTGGGTGTGGAGCCTACTTAAAAAAAATAATAGTAATAAAAACTTAAAAATAAACATTGTCGCTGTGATAAGCATTTAATTGGAAACTTTGTAATTTCTTTTCTGTTTCTAAAGTGAATAAGAGTTTGTTAGGAACGTGTGTGTGTAAGTTTAATTAAACTTCAGTGTAATACACATACACACACACACACACATATGTATACCTGTATGTAAGTCAGTTTAAGTTTATGCTAAAAGGATTCCAGTTTGAGAACTCTTACTATAATATCAAGAAAGAACATGGGAAACTTTGTTTTATAATTTTAAAAAAGATATAATACTTATATTTAAAGGAATAATTTGTGTTTTATTCTGTAAATATATTAGTAGCTCATAAGTTGCCATTATATGTTTTTTTTTTTCTTTTAGTTTCCTCCCTCAGGGAACAAATCTGAATTTCATGATGTGCAAATACTGATTGCATTTATAAGCCGCAAAGACTTTATAGATATGAAGCAGGTAAAATAGTAATTACATACTATACAAAGTTTATACGTAGTACAATTCTTTAGTTTTAACCACTGATATTTAATTTAAATTATATATGCTCCATTTGCTAACGAGAAGCTATAAAGTCCTATCATGTCTTTGAGAAGAGTTCACCTCTCAGTGAGCACAAGGTGTTTCCAAAACCTGACTTTAGAAAGGATATTTATTTGTTTTGACTTCTTTAACAGTCTCTGTGTTATATCATTTATCTTACCCTTAAATCCCTGAACAGTGTGTGACTATGTGAAACACTGAACTTTCAAGATTTAATAAACCAAAGCATAGCCTCATAATTCTGACAAGAGAATATATCATGTTGCCAACAATGATTCTAGTGTTCTTGACTCTATAGTATCAGGTTCAGAGTGAAATTGGAATATTGCTACCATCCACTAGAAGAGAAAGAAAACTAATTCTGGTTTTTTGTTATTTTGTCTTTCAGACTCTTGGAGATAACATTACTGTGAAAATGTATTCTCCATCGTGGCCTAACTTTGACTATACTATGGTGGTTATTTTTGTAATTGCTGTGTTCACTGTGGCATTAGGAGGATACTGGAGTGGACTAATTGAATTGTAAGTTTAATTAAACTTTAGTGTTTTTGTGATAAATGGCTAAAAATTATTGTTTGATGTTCAGTTTAATCATGTAACAACATTTAAAATTTACCTGACCTCAGAATATAATGCTATTAAGGTCAGATAGCAGGTTTGTCCTCCTGTAGGTCATTTAACTTTTCACTGAAAAGGAAGTTAGAGCTTCCTCTAACTCTCCTGCTGGTAGGCGAACATTGAAATTACATCAAAGACTTTTTAAAATTGTTTAATTATCTCTCCTGGAAAAGATGAAGATACTTGGTATCCTTGTGGGCCTATTTATTTGGATTGGAAGAAAATAAGCAAGAGAAGGTGGGGCAGGGGATTTCAGCTCCTCCTGAGAGCAGTCATTACAATGTGACCTCATCATTCTGTTTAATGCTTTAGGAATTCTGAGGCTATGAAGCATGTTCATATTCTAATTTAAATATAGGAATTCCAAATTATGTAAAACTTAGATTTCCTGTTTAGTAACAACCTAAAGCGGGTCTTCTTACAGTTATGTACCTTTGGCTCTGGGTGAAAGCAGGCAACATTGTTTGAAAGGATCAGTTCATATTTATAACTCTGAATTTAAAAATGTGCGCAGAGCATATTTGATACATAAAGGACAATATATTCATTTTATGAGTCGATCTGTAGGTTTCGTTAAAAAGGGCTTATTTACAACTAAATGAAGTTAAGCTAAATTGTAGTTTCTCAAAATAAAATTTGATTGACTCATGTCAGGAGAAAAATCTTAGGGTTTAACAAGTGTAGGTTTCTAGAGTATTGAGCTTTAAATATTTTCCATAATTGGAAAACATGTATCAACATATATATCTGTCACATATTTTCATGTGAGTAAGCATTGTTTTCATTATTAATCTCTATAAAGCATAGCATGTAAGATCTCCAAGGTCATTTTCTAATTATTTGGTGAAACTTTATAATTTCCCCGGAGCTACTGATTCATTGAAAACGTTTTCCCATTTAATATATATTCTCACTGTACTTCTGTATATATTATAAATTATTTCTGTAAATTGTTTCTTCTCTAGAGTAGTGCTTTTCAAACTGTAATGTGCATACAAAGTGTCTTGAGATCTCATTAAAATGAAAATTTAGGTTTAGTAGGCTTGGGATGGGGCCAAGATTCCATGTTTTAAAGAAGCTCCCAAGTGATTTTGCTGGCCCACAGACCACACTTTGAGTTAGCAAGGCAAGCTTTGTATACATGTCAGGGCAAGCCCCTCCTCAAGAAAATTGGAGATGGGAGAGGAGTATGTATAAGCTTTTTTATTCATAAAACATGATGATGGACAAAAACAGAGATTTGTTACCTTCATAGCCAGGTTGGGGGAGAGGGAATTCTTTACCTGCAGGATTATGAAATTTTTAAAATTTTTATTTTAGGGGCACCTGGGTGGCTCAGTTGGTTAAGCGGCTGCCTTCGGCTCAGGTCATGATCCCGGTGTCCTGGGATCGAGCCCCGCATCGGGCTCC